TTAACACCACTGCGTATTACATAAGAGTATCTGCTCTAACATTTACACACGCACATGTAGTATTTATATTTAAGCACTGGCTGGTACTATAAACTAGCTTATCTGATTCACCGTGTGAAATAACTACTTTCAATTTTAACTTTAAATAATGGAGCAAGGGAAACCAGGAATAATAGAAATGAAAATTTAGGTGCCAGCAGACTTTATAATATCAGCATGAGAATTCTGAATTGTTTTCAGGATAATATTGAATTTCTTTGTCCATATTCTGGACAGTAATGCCTCAAATTCTATTTGCAGTATTAAAGTTATGAGCCCTAGAAAAGAATATTCTAATCAAAAATTTTATTAAATAATCTAGATGTTTGACCTGCTTTCAGTATGAACTGTATTGGAAAGTTCAATGGTAAGGAAAAGGCATATGATTGGCCAAAAATGTCTCTAATTTGTAATCATGTGTGTGCTAATGCCCACTACTAACCTGTCACAAATAACACTGCTTGCTTGCATTATCATTAGTGTGGCATGCAAAAAGCATGGCTGTTTATGCTTGCTTTTACATTAACATACTAAAAGCATTGAAGACTAGAATGTGTAAAATTCCTGTTTTGACTGGCCAGTTTCACATTTTACTTCTTCAGCTTACTGAAAATCAGTTTGAAATCCGTGTATCTTATACAGAAGTTCATTTTGTGTCCAGCTTAGCTGTGTTGTTAATCACAAATACTCCCTTCCTGTGTCATCTCACACTGTTACCTCTTTTTTGAGAAGATCTCGTCCCTTGATATGCAGTAGCAGCAGAATTGCATCTTTTGAATCATATTGTGAATGAAAACTTGGCAGTAGTGACAGATACTGGGGAGAATGTAGTGTCTCTGCTGCTTGAGATCAGTGCCACCTTCTCCATGGTTGGGCATAGCATGTGGGGAATTGAGCAAGAGAATATGTAGGAATTTGGGACACGGCTACAGTTTTTTGTATGTAATGGTGCTTCTGATGACAGTAGTAAAATGCCTAAAACATCTGACCTTTAAACAATTTTAATTTTAACTCAACTGATTGTAAAAGTACTTAAATTTTCATGTTAAACACGTGGATGGTGAGACGAAGTGAACAGGGGCTTGGTTTGAAAGTAGCACAGACATTATTTTCTTCATTGCTCTCTGAGGTCTGCTGAACAGTAACTTTGCGCTGGTTTTCAGAGTGGGGAGAGTGTCATGTTGTGCACTACAGGCAGTTGGTGTCAGGCAACAACGTGATGGAGTTGCAGCTGTCATGTTAGCAGTGCCACCACAAAACTTCTTCATATGAGAGTGCCTGCCCGTGAGCCTGGGAAAGGAGCAGGAGGCACTGCCTTGGGCATCACTTCTGTATCTGCTTGGGCCTCTTCCGTGCTGTTTAGCTCAGAAGTTTTTAACTTGAATGCTTGCGGTGTAACTTCTGGGCTAAATTTAAGACTTAATGATAGGATTCAAAGTCTTCAAAAGATTCCTGTCTTTGCTACCTGACTTTAAAAGCAAGGTACTTAGCTAGATTTATCGATCTAAACAATTTTCTGTTTGGATTGTTGCAGTAAGTAGTGCCATGGCTTACTATTCTACGAAGCTGACTTACAATGACAACATATTCATTCACATCTTTTAAACTGTTCTGGATTTTTTTTAATTTTCTACCTGCCAGTACAGTCAGTCACCAGGAACATTTTGTCCTTCTTTGGACACCTTAGCTTGAAAAAAATTCTCCTTTCATCAGTAGGGGGCAAAGAACAGGATCTAGTTGCACACCGGAGATGAATGTTGTCTTGGATAATTTCTTCCTGCTGTCACTTCTAAAAGCTCTGGGTGGTGCCCTCTGGTGTGGAGGTGCCCATTGATGCTCAGTGACCATCCGGGTCTGATGCGACTGCCCAGGTATAGCATTACTTTCTGGGGGCCTTGAGGACCGTGACATTGTTGTATTTCCTACGAATGGTGGAAAGCAAATAAATACACTTATGTACATGGCTAAAAGAAGGCATGTAGGAGAAATGACCCCAGGATGAGATTTCTAGTTTGGGTTAGCCCAGTGTTTCTGTCGTATGTGAGCGTGCGTGCCAGCCCTCTGTCTGAGAAACCCTCGTTGGTAAAAGCCCTCATTGATCTTTCTTTCCCTTTTCTTCCTAAGGAAATGCACCAGCAATGCACTACTGAGATGTCACTGTCCTGAGTGCTAAACTTGCTCTTCCGTTTTTTGTGCAGACTCCAATTCCAGTATTCCAGAACCACTTCAAAACCCTTCTGCAGAGCTTCCTACAGAGGCAGCGGGCAAAGAACTGCACAACCACCTCCCTCTAGATATTGACAATGACACAGAAAGCACTGCTCTGTGAAGGGAGCCAAAACACGCTTTCCTTTCCTGACGGGAAAACTGACAGAGCCAACAGTGAAAAGCTTCTCCTGGCGGCACGGAGACCTGTGTGCACCTCAGTGCAGGGCGAGGAGCTGTGCAGGAGAGGTGTAATGATCTGTGTGCCTCGAGTTATCCACACCCCCGATGGAAGGAATTAATCACGGCAGAAGCGTGCATAGGAAGTGTAGCTGCTGCTGTTACCAACGGTATTAGCGAAATTCCAACCGATTTTAAGAAGCGAATTATTAGTTATTTAAAGTGCATGTATTACGGAAGTAATCTTTTTAATGCCGCGGTTAGATTCTTATTCTAGTTGTTAGGCGTTACAAGGAGAGGCCTTGCGAGAGACATTCCCTCACTGCTTTGCTGCAGGTTTTTGAGACGTGAACCAAAGCCGGCACAGCGGCGGTGACTGCTGGCCCTGTCACTGCTCACAGCTGTGTGTGCTCAGTGCCTTGACGGACTGTGACTGCAGGAGGAACCTTACTGTATTGTAATCATTTCAGCGCTACTCTGTGATCAGTACCTAATCTGTATTTCATAGTTATTTGTATTAACCAGCCTGCTTTTTGTTTATGTGGAATTAATGACTGTTTGGAGAAAAAGCTGTGGAAGTGGTTTCGTGCTTTCATAGGAAACGGTTGGATTTTGAAAGAAAAAAAAAATTCTTTGAACATCTGTTTTGATGCATCAGTTGGGTGAACGTTTATAAAATAAAAGACCGCCTTTTGTCAACCTGAGCCCCACTTCGTTCCGCGCGCCAAAACTGCCTCCCCCGCCCCCCCCTTTCTGGGGCCCAGCAGGAGTATTGTCCAATCCCGTCCCCGCTCCCCTCACGCGGGAACCGCCCAACTAACGCCGCCCTATCCAATCCCGTCCTCGCTCTCCTCAGGTGGGAAACGCCTACTTAGTGCCGCCCTGCCCAATCCTGGCCCAGTAACAACAAAGCGGCCTCTTCTCCGCGTTTTGCCCGGCCCAACTTGCTATAGGGGCCGTCAGCGCTCTGGCAGCCTCCGTACTAGGTGGCTAGGTCGTTTTCCGAGCACCAAACGCAGCCGTTCTGCTGCTGCTACTGGAAAGTCGGGTCCTGTGCCATCTCTCAGGCTCGATCACATCCGTAGGGGAACTGCAGAAGCCATTGCTGGCCGAGTGCGCGGGTCAAGCGGGGCGGGGCGGGAGTGTCCACGAGTCGGATTGGGCGAAGAGGAGCAAGGCGGGAATGGGGGGCGGGCCAAGCCCTGACTGGGCTGCGGCGGGGATTGGTTCCCGCTGGAACCATCTAGGCAGTGATTGGCTCTGAGCCAGCGAGGCGGGAACAGGAGGTGTGAAATACAAGCGCGTGCCGCAGCATGAGGGAGTATCGGCGAAGGTGAGAAGGCGGCGGCGGCAGAGCAGGGAACGGAGCCGGGAGCAGAGCGGAGTGCGGTGAGCCTGGCTGGGAAGCTGCGATTCGGGGTCGGAGAAGTGATGAACGGATGGGCTGTTGCCCATCGCAGCGATTTAGGTGGGGGCCGCGTGCGGTGTGCAGTGCCTGTGGACACTGGGTGGAGATGGAGTCACAGCGGGAAAGGACTGCTGGTGGGCTGCTGAGGGAAGACAGGGCAGCTGTGCAGCAGTGCTAGAGCTGAAACGCAGGAGCTGAGAATAAAGATGTTATGGGAAACAGGGCAAGAGCTGAAATCACTGGTGTGAGCTTCTTACAAGGTTTTGTGGGCAAATATTGCAAGAGCTGAAATCGTGGGGCATAAGGTGGAAATAAAGCTTCATGGGGACAAAAAGGGAGGCAATGAAAGAACAATGAAAGTTCAAAATAAAAATTGAGGCGGGAAACAGAGCATGTGGTAACAGTGCAGAGCTGCTGCTGGAACCCACAGCATGGTGTGAGGGTGTGTTGGAGAGGCTGAGCTGCACAAAGCCAGGGCATCTCACTGGAGTGCAGTGCTGGAGCTGAAGCTGACAAGGAGCTGAGAATAAAGATGTTGTGGGAAACAGGGCAAAAGCTGAAATCACTGGTGTGAGTTTGTTACAGAGCCTTCAGCTCGCTGAAATCGAATGAGAGTCCTTATTGTGGGGTGTGAGATGGAAATCAAGATTTGAGGGGGGGAATCAGAGATCAAGGTTTGAAATCCGTGGGTATGAGCTGACAGTGCAGAGCTGCTGCAGGAACTGACAGCTCAGGGCATGCAGGTGTGTGAGCAGGGCTGTGCAATGCTGGAGCACACCCACAGTGTGCTGGGGCTGATGGAGCAGAGCTGGAGCTGAAGCAGACAAGGAGCTGAGAATAAAGATCTTGTGGCAACGGGGCAAGAGCTGAAATCACTGGTGTCCGTTTATTACAATTCTTCATTGGGGGAAGTAGGGCGAGACGTGGGTTGCAAATGAGGATCTGTGAGGGGACACAGGGCAAGGGCTGAAATCAGTGTGTATGAGCTGGTAACGCAGAGCTGCTGCTGGAACCCAGGCACAGGGGTGAAGCTGTGTGAGTGAGGCAGAGCTGTGCAGTGCTGGAGCTGAATGAGAGCAGGAGCTGAGAATAAAGATGTGAGCAGAATCCACAAGAGCTGAAATCACTGGTGTGAGTTTATTATAAATATTTTGGGCGGAAACAGGACATGAGCTACAATCATGGGGAGTGCCCTGGAAATAAAGATTTGGGGGCATCACAGGGCAAGAACTGAAATCAGTCGGTGTGAGCTGACAGAGCGGAGCTGTACGATGCTGGAGCACAACCCCAGTGTGCAGTGCTGGAGTTGAAACGGACAAGGAGCTGAGAATAAAGATGTTGTGGGAAACAGGGCAAGAGCTGAAATCACTGGTGTGAGATTGTGATTAACGTCTGGGGGAAATAGGGCAAGACATGAGTCGGGCTATGGGATCCTTGGGGGCCACAGGGCAAAGTGGAAATCACTGCGTATGAGCTGGTGATGCAGAGCTGCTGCTGGAACCCACAGCACGGGACAGAGATGCGTCCAGCAGGCAGAGCTGCGTGCAGCCACAACACCTTGTGTGCAGCGTGCAGTGCTGCGAGCTGAAACAAGGAGCTGAGAATAAAGATGTGAGCAGAAAGTGCAGGAGCTGAAATCGCCGGTGTGAGTTTCTTATCAAGCTTCCCAGGGGTAATGGGACAAGAGCTGAAATAATGGGATGTGAGCTGGAAATAAAGCTTGAGGGGGAAATGTGGGGCACGAGCTGACAGTGCAGAGCTGCTGCTGGCACCCACAGCGCAGGCATGGAGGTGTGTGTGAGCAGAGCTGCGCAACGCTGGAGCACAACCCCAGTGTGCAGTGCTGGAGCTGAAGCGGACACGGAGCTGAGAATAAAGATCTTGTGGGAAACGGGGCAAGAGCTGAAATCACTGGTGTGAGTTTGTTACAACACTTCCCTGGGGAAAAGGATCTGTGAGGGGACACAGGGCAAGGGCGGAAATCAGTGCGTATGAGCTGGTAATGCAGAGCTGCTGCAGGAACCCACAGCATGGGCGCAAAGCTGTGTGAATATGAGGCAGAGCTGTGCAGTGCTGGGGCAGCTCACTGGAGTGCAGTGCTGGAGCTGAAGCTGACAAGGAGCTGAGAATAAAGATGTTTTGGGAAACAGGGCAAGAGCTGAAATCACTGGTGTGAGCTTCCTTTAAGATTTCCGGGGAAATTTTGTGTGAGGTGAAATCCTGGGGCATGAGCTGGAAATCAAGCTGCATGGGAGGAACAGAGGGGAAGCCCTGAAATGATGGCACACATTGAGAATAACGATTGGGGTGGGAAACACAGAGCAGCACGGACAGTGCAGAGCTGCTGCTGGAACCCACAGCACGGGGTGAAGCTGTGTGTGCGACAGAGCTGTGCAGTGCTGGAGCTGAAGCTGACAAGGAGCTGAGAATAAAGATGTTATGGGAAACAGGGCAAGAGCTGAAATCCTTGTGTGAGCTTCCTATAAGGTTTTGTGGGCAAATATTGCAAGAGCTGAAATCGTGGGGCATAAGGTGGAAATCAAGCCTCATGGGGACAAAAAGGGAGGCAATGAAAGAACAGAATATGCGTTCAAAATAAAAATTGAGGCGGGAAACAGAGCATGTGGTAACAGTGCAGAGCTGCTGCTGGAACCCACAGCATGGTGTGAGGGTGTGTTGGAGAGGCTGAGCTGCACAAAGCCTGGGCATCTCACTGGAGTGCAGTGCTGGAGCTGAAGCTGACAAGGAGCTGAGAATAAAGATGTTGTGGGAAACAGAGCAAGAGCTGAAATCACTGGTGTGAGTTTGTTACAGAGCCTTGAGCTCGCTGAAATCGAATGAGAGTCCTTATTGTGGGGTGTGAGATGGAAATCAAGATTTGAGGGGGGGAATCAGAGATCAAGGTTTGAAATCCGTGGGTATGAGCTGACAGTGCAGAGCTGCTGCAGGAACTGACAGCTCAGGGCATGGAGGTGTGTGAGCAGGGCTGTGCAATGCTGGAGCACACCCACAGTGTGCTGGGGCTGATGGAGCAGAGCTGGAGCTGAAGCAGACAAGGAGCTGAGAATAAAGATCTTGTGGCAAACGGGGCAAGAGCTGAAATCACTGGTGTCCGTTTATTACAATTCTTCATTGGGGGAAATAGGGCGAGACGTGGGTTGCAAATGAGGATCTGTGAGGGGACACAGGGCAAGGGCTGAAATCAGTGTGTATGAGCTGGTAACGCAGAGCTGCTGCTGGAACCCAGGCACAGGGGTGAAGCTGTGTGAGTGAGGCAGAGCTGTGCAGTGCTGGAGCTGAATGAGAGCAGGAGCTGAGAATAAAGATGTGAGCAGAATCCACAAGAGCTGAAATCACTGGTGTGAGTTTATTATAAATATTTTGGGCGGAAACAGGACATGAGCTACAATCATGGGGAGTGCCCTGGAAATAAAGATTTGGGGGCATCACAGGGCAAGAACTGAAATCAGTCGGTGTGAGCTGACAGAGCGGAGCTGTACGATGCTGGAGCACAACCCCAGTGTGCAGTGCTGGAGCTGAAACGGACAAGGAGCTGAGAATAAAGATGTTGTGGGAAACAGGGCAAGAGCTGAAATCACTGGTGTGAGATTGTGATTAACGTCTGGGGGAAATAGGGCAAGACATGAGTCGGGCTATGGGATCCTTGGGGGCCACAGGGCAAAGTGGAAATCACTGCGTATGAGCTGGTAATGCAGAGCTGCTGCTGGAACCCACAGCACGGGACAGAGATGTGTCCAGCAGGCAGAGCTGCGTGCAGCCACAACACCTTGTGTGCAGCGTGCAGTGCTGCGAGCTGAAACAAGGAGCTGAGAATAAAGATGTGAGCAGAAAGTGCAGGAGCTGAAATCGCCGGTGTGAGTTTCTTATCAAGCTTCCCAGGGGTAATGGGACAAGAGCTGAAATAACGGGATGTGAGCTGGAAATAAAGCTTGACGGGGAAACGTGGGGCACGAGCTGACAGTGCAGAGCTGCTGCTGGCACCCACAGCGCAGGCATGGAGGTGTGTGTGAGCAGAGCTGCGCAACGCTGGAGCACAACCACAGTGTGCAGTGCTGGAGCTGAAGCGGACACGGAGCTGAGAGTAAAGATCTTTTGGGGTAAACGGGGCAAGAGCTGAAATCACTGGTGTGAGTTTGTTACAACACTTCCCTGGGGAAAAGGATCTGTGAGGGGACACAGGGCAAGGGCGGAAATCAGTGCGTATGAGCTGGTAATGCAGAGCTGCTGCAGGAACCCACAGCACGGGCGCAAAGCTGTGTGAATATGAGGCAGAGCTGTGCAGTGCTGGGGCAGCTCACTGGAGTGCAGTGCTGGAGCTGAAGCTGACAAGGAGCTGAGAATAAAGATGTTTTGGGAAACAGGGCAAGAGCTGAAATCACTGGTGTGAGCTTCCTATAAGGTTTCTGGGGAAATCATGTACGAGGTGAAATCCTGGGGCATGAGCTGGAAATCAAGCTGCATGGGAGGAACAGAGGGGAAGCCCTGAAATGATGGCACACATTGAGAATAACGATTGGGGTGGGAAACACAGAGCAGCACGGACAGTGCAGAGCTGCTGCTGGAACCCACAGCACGGGGTGAAGCTGTGTGTGCGACAGAGCTGTGCAGTGCTGGAGCTGAAGCTGACAAGGAGCTGAGAATAAAGATGTTATGGGAAACAGGGCAAGAGCTGAAATCACTGGTGTGAGCTTCTTACAAGGTTTTGTGGGCAAATATTGCAAGAGCTGAAATCGTGGGGCATAAGGTGGAAATCAAGCCTCATGGGGACAAAAAGGGAGGCAATGAAAGAACAGAATATGCGTTCAAAACAAAAATTGAGGCGGGAAACAGAGCATGTGGTAACAGTGCAGAGCTGCTGCTGGAACCCACAGCATGGTGTGAGGGTGTGTTGGAGAGGCTGAGCTGCACAAAGCCAGGGCATCTCACTGGAGTGCAGTGCTGGAGCTGAAGCTGACAAGGAGCTGAGAATAAAGATGTTGTGGGAAACAGGGCAAGAGCTGAAATCACTGGTGTGAGTTTGTTACAGAGCCTGGAGCTCGCTGAAATCGAATGAGAGTCCTTATTGTGGGGTGTGAGATGGAAATCAAGATTTGAGGGGGGGAATCAGAGATCAAGGTTTGAAATCCGTGGGTATGAGCTGACAGTGCAGAGCTGCTGCAGGAACTGACAGCTCAGGGCATGGAGGTGTGTGAGCAGAGCTGTGCAATGCTGGAGCACACCCACAGTGTGCTGGGGCTGATGGAGCAGAGCTGGAGCTGAAGCAGACAAGGAGCTGAGAATAAAGATCTTGTGGCAACGGGGCAAGAGCTGAAATCACTGGTGTCCGTTTATTACAATTCTTCATTGGGGGAAATAGGGCGAGACATGGGTTGCAAATGAGGATCTGTGAGGGGACACAGGGCAAGGGCTGAAATCAGTGTGTATGAGCTGGTAACGCAGAGCTGCTGCTGGAACCCAGGCACAGGGGTGAAGCTGTGTGAGTGAGGCAGAGCTGTGCAGTGCTGGAGCTGAATGAGAGCAGGAGCTGAGAATAAAGATGTGAGCAGAATCCACAAGAGCTGAAATCACTGGTGTGAGTTTATTATAAATATTTTGGGCGGAAACAGGACATGAGCTACAATCATGGGGAGTGCCCTGGAAATAAAGATTTGGGGGCATCACAGGGCAAGAACTGAAATCAGTCGGTGTGAGCTGACAGAGCGGAGCTGTACGATGCTGGAGCACAACCCCAGTGTGCAGTGCTGGAGCTGAAACGGACAAGGAGCTGAGAGTAAAGATCTTTTGGGGTAAACGGGGCAAGAGCTGAAATCACTGGTGTGAGATTGTGATTAACGTCTGGGGGAAATAGGGCAAGACATGAGTCGGGCTATGGGATCCTTGGGGGCCACAGGGCAAAGTGGAAATCACTGCGTATGAGCTGGTAATGCAGAGCTGCTGCTGGAACCCACAGCACGGGACAGAGATGCGTCCAGCAGGCAGAGCTGCGTGCAGCCACAACACCTTGTGTGCAGCGTGCAGTGCTGCGAGCTGAAACAAGGAGCTGAGAATAAAGATGTGAGCAGAAAGTGCAGGAGCTGAAATCGCCGGTGTGAGTTTCTTATCAAGCTTCCCAGGGGTAATGGGACAAGAGCTGACATAACGGGATGTGAGCTGGAAATAAAGCTTGAGGGGGAAACGTGGGGCACGAGCTGACAGTGCAGAGCTGCTGCTGGCACCCACAGCGCAGGCATGGAGGTGTGTGAGCAGAGCTGCGCAACGCTGGAGCACAACCACAGTGTGCAGTGCTGGAGCTGAAGCGGACACGGAGCTGAGAGTAAAGATCTTGTGGGAAACGGGGCAAGAGCTGAAATCACTGGTGTGAGTTTATTATAAATATTTTGGGCGGAAACAGGACATGAGCTACAATCATGGGGAGTGCCCTGGAAATAAAGATTTGGGGGCATCACAGGGCAAGAACTGAAATCAGTCGGTGTGAGCTGACAGAGCGGAGCTGTACGATGCTGGAGCACAACCCCAGTGTGCAGTGCTGGAGCTGAAACGGACAAGGAGCTGAGAATAAAGATGTTGTTGGGTAAACGGGGCAAGAGCTGAAATCACTGGTGTGAGTTTGTTACAACACTTCCCTGGGGAAAAGGATCTGTGAGGGGACACAGGGCAAGGGCGGAAATCAGTGCGTATGAGCTGGTAATGCAGAGCTGCTGCAGGAACCCACAGCACGGGCGCAAAGCTGTGTGAATATGAGGCAGAGCTGTGCAGTGCTGGGGCAGCTCACTGGAGTGCAGTGCTGGAGCTGAAGCTGACAAGGAGCTGAGAATAAAGATGTTGTGGGAAACAGGGCAAGAGCTGAAATCACTGGTGTGAGCTTCCTATAAGGTTTCTGGGGAAATCATGTACGAGGTGAAATCCTGGGGCATGAGCTGGAAATCAAGCTGCATGGGAGGAACAGAGGGGAAGCCCTGAAATGATGGCACACATTGAGAATAACGATTGGGGTGGGAAACACAGAGCAGCACGGACAGTGCAGAGCTGCTGCTGGAACCCACAGCACGGGGTGAAGCTGTGTGTGCGACAGAGCTGTGCAGTGCTGGAGCTGAAGCTGACAAGGAGCTGAGAATAAAGATGTTATGGGAAACAGGGCAAGAGCTGAAATCCTTGTGTGAGCTTCCTATAAGGTTTTGTGGGCAAATATTGCAAGAGCTGAAATCGTGGGGCATAAGGTGGAAATCAAGCCTCATGGGGACAAAAAGGGAGGCAATGAAAGAACAGAATATGCGTTCAAAATAAAAATTGAGGCGGGAAACAGAGCATGTGGTAACAGTGCAGAGCTGCTGCTGGAACCCACAGCATGGTGTGAGGGTGTGTTGGAGAGGCTGAGCTGCACAAAGCCAGGGCATCTCACTGGAGTGCAGTGCTGGAGCTGAAGCTGACAAGGAGCTGAGAATAAAGATGTTGTGGGAAACAGAGCAAGAGCTGAAATCACTGGTGTGAGTTTGTTACAGAGCCTTGAGCTCGCTGAAATCGAATGAGAGTCCTTATTGTGGGGTGTGAGATGGAAATCAAGATTTGAGGGGGGGAATCAGAGATCAAGGTTTGAAATCCGTGGGTATGAGCTGACAGTGCAGAGCTGCTGCAGGAACTGACAGCTCAGGGCATGGAGGTGTGTGAGCAGGGCTGTGCAATGCTGGAGCACACCCACAGTGTGCTGGGGCTGATGGAGCAGAGCTGGAGCTGAAGCAGACAAGGAGCTGAGAATAAAGATCTTGTGGCAAACGGGGCAAGAGCTGAAATCACTGGTGTCCGTTTATTACAATTCTTCATTGGGGGAAATAGGGCGAGACGTGGGTTGCAAATGAGGATCTGTGAGGGGACACAGGGCAAGGGCTGAAATCAGTGTGTATGAGCTGGTAACGCAGAGCTGCTGCTGGAACCCAGGGCACAGGGGTGAAGCTGTGTGAGTGAGGCAGAGCTGTGCAGTGCTGGAGCTGAATGAGAGCAGGAGCTGAGAATAAAGATGTGAGCAGAATCCACAAGAGCTGAAATCACTGGTGTGAGTTTATTATAAATATTTTGGGCGGAAACAGGACATGAGCTACAATCATGGGGAGTGCCCTGGAAATAAAGATTTGGGGGCATCACAGGGCAAGAACTGAAATCAGTCGGTGTGAGCTGACAGAGCGGAGCTGTACGATGCTGGAGCACAACCCCAGTGTGCAGTGCTGGAGCTGAAACGGACAAGGAGCTGAGAATAAAGATGTTGTGGGAAACAGGGCAAGAGCTGAAATCACTGGTGTGAGATTGTGATTAACGTCTGGGGGAAATAGGGCAAGACATGAGTCGGGCTATGGGATCCTTGGGGGCCACAGGGCAAAGTGGAAATCACTGCGTATGAGCTGGTAATGCAGAGCTGCTGCTGGAACCCACAGCACGGGACAGAGATGCGTCCAGCAGGCAGAGCTGCGTGCAGCCACAACACCTTGTGTGCAGCGTGCAGTGCTGCGAGCTGAAACAAGGAGCTGAGAATAAAGATGTGAGCAGAAAGTGCAGGAGCTGAAATCGCCGGTGTGAGTTTCTTATCAAGCTTCCCAGGGGTAATGGGACAAGAGCTGACATAACGGGATGTGAGCTGGAAATAAAGCTTGAGGGGGAAACGTGGGGCACGAGCTGACAGTGCAGAGCTGCTGCTGGCACCCACAGCGCAGGCATGGAGGTGTGTGAGCAGAGCTGCGCAACGCTGGAGCACAACCACAGTGTGCAGTGCTGGAGCTGAAGCGGACACGGAGCTGAGAGTAAAGATCTTGTGGGAAACGGGGCAAGAGCTGAAATCACTGGTGTGAGTTTATTATAAATATTTTGGGCGGAAACAGGACATGAGCTACAATCATGGGGAGTGCCCTGGAAATAAAGATTTGGGGGCATCACAGGGCAAGAACTGAAATCAGTCGGTGTGAGCTGACAGAGCGGAGCTGTACGATGCTGGAGCACAACTCCAGTGTGCAGTGCTGGAGCTGAAACGGACAAGGAGCTGAGAATAAAGATGTTGTTGGGTAAACGGGGCAAGAGCTGAAATCACTGGTGTGAGTTTGTTACAACACTTCCCTGGGGAAAAGGATCTGTGAGGGGACACAGGGCAAGGGCGGAAATCAGTGCGTATGAGCTGGTAATGCAGAGCTGCTGCAGGAACCCACAGCACGGGCGCAAAGCTGTGTGAATATGAGGCAGAGCTGTGCAGTGCTGGGGCAGCTCACTGGAGTGCAGTGCTGGAGCTGAAGCTGACAAGGAGCTGAGAATAAAGATGTTGTGGGAAACAGGGCAAGAGCTGAAATCACTGGTGTGAGCTTCCTATAAGGTTTCTGGGGAAATCATGTACGAGGTGAAATCCTGGGGCATGAGCTGGAAATCAAGCTGCATGGGAGGAACAGAGGGGAAGCCCTGAAATGATGGCACACATTGAGAATAACGATTGGGGTGGGAAACACAGAGCAGCACGGACAGTGCAGAGCTGCTGCTGGAACCCACAGCACGGGGTGAAGCTGTGTGTGCGACAGAGCTGTGCAGTGCTGGAGCTGAAGCTGACAAGGAGCTGAGAATAAAGATGTTATGGGAAACAGGGCAAGAGCTGAAATCCTTGTGTGAGCTTCCTATAAGGTTTTGTGGGCAAATATTGCAAGAGCTGAAATCGTGGGGCATAAGGTGGAAATCAAGCCTCATGGGGACAAAAAGGGAGGCAATGAAAGAACAGAATATGCGTTCAAAATAAAAATTGAGGCGGGAAACAGAGCATGTGGTAACAGTGCAGAGCTGCTGCTGGAACCCACAGCATGGTGTGAGGGTGTGTTGGAGAGGCTGAGCTGCACAAAGCCAGGGCATCTCACTGGAGTGCAGTGCTGGAGCTGAAGCGGACACGGAGCTGAGAATAAAGATCTTGTGGGAAACGGGGCAAGAGCTGAAATCACTGGTGTGAGTTTGTTACAGAGCCTTGAGCTCGCTGAAATCGAATGAGAGTCCTTATTGTGGGGTGTGAGATGGAAATCAAGATTTGAGGGGGGGAATCAGAGATCAAGGTTTGAAATCCGTGGGCATGAGCTGACAGTGCAGAGCTGCTGCAGGAACTGACAGCTCAGGGCATGCAGGTGTGTGAGCAGGGCTGTGCAATGCTGGAGCACACCCACAGTGTGCTGGGGCTGATGGAGCAGAGCTGGAGCTGAAGCAGACAAGGAGCTGAGAATAAAGATCTTGTGGCAAACGGGGCAAGAGCTGAAATCACTGGTGTCCGTTTATTACAATTCTTCATTGGGGGAAATAGGGCGAGACGTGGGTTGCAAATGAGGATCTGTGAGGGGACACAGGGCAAGGGCTGAAATCAGTGTGTATGAGCTGGTAACGCAGAGCTGCTGCTGGAACCCAGGCACAGGGGTGAAGCTGTGTGAGTGAGGCAGAGCTGTGCAGTGCTGGAGCTGAATGAGAGCAGGAGCTGAGAATAAAGATGTGAGCAGAATCCACAAGAGCTGAAATCGCTGGTGTGAGTTTCTTACAAAATTTCACAGGGGAAATAGGACAGGAGCTGAAATAATGGGATGTGAGCTGGAAA